TCATATTATGTCCAAACTGTGAGCCATAACTTAAATTTTATTATTTATTTTCTTTAGCTTTATGGTATATTCATAGGTTTAAAATAAATTTGTTAATAGAGTTAAAGACAGCACCTCCTCAAATATTGATCCTAGGTATTTAATGATATAATACTTTAATTAAAGATAGATTACAAAGTAACCTAATTTTATATCTAACAGTTAATTTATTCTACTAAATCTAAAATATAAATTGAGTTTTATAATCTATTATGGGCATACGGTACACTGTCAACATCTTATTCTTATTAGTTGTTTTACAATATAAGATATAGGTATTAGGTATATTGCAACTCAGCCGACTTCTCTCTCTCTCTCTCTCTCTCTCTCTCTCTCTCTCTCTCTCTCTCTCTCTCTCTCTCTCTCTCTCTCTCTCTCTCTCTCTCTCTCTCAGCTGTAGCCTGTCTAAACCAAAATTTATCTCACCTCTGAATGACACAAAGATACTATATTTGGATGTCTAAGTTCTTGTTACCTTTCGAACATTTTACGTTTGAAAGTTAAATATATATTTTGTACAGTATTCAGAATCTAATATATCCAGATTCAAAATTGTTATTCAAACGTGAGTAAAGATCATAATTAGGACAGTCTACACCTGAGTAAAATATCTAATGATATTAACATATATGAACGATGACAAATGTCCAAGAAGATGACAATGTCCATAGATAAGTTTGACCGAAAGGAGCAACACGAACACAAGTATTTTTAAATCTAAACCATTATGACATTGTAATTTGATAATCATATCAGTTAACAATGATAATCCTTGTTTTGAAAATCCTATGTTATTGATACAGATGGCTATAAATTCCATCACAACAATAATGTATCGAATTTAATGGTGCTTTGGTATTTTCCTAAATAATAAAGTGACTGCTTCACTATTCGAAGCAATATGAATTATTTAATTGGATTTGGCAACAATCTTGAATTGCAAAATGTTTAGTATATAATAGCAAAGAAAATGTTCAAAGGATACCACATAGTTCACTGCTTACAACATGTAATCTTTGCTTTATTTTATGCAAGTAAATGGAGTACATAATGCATAAAAAATATTCATTTTATTGCAGCTGTTGAAAATAGCGAGGTCTACACGTAGTTTGTATTGTATAATTCAGTATTTCTTGTTTTATACTATTAATTGATTCATATTAGAAGTTTTTGAAATACAATCCAACGAAGAATGTTAAACAATATATATATATATATATATATATATATATATATATATATATATATATATATATATATATATATATATATATATATATATATATATATATATATATATATATATATCATATTTAGTCTGACATTGTCATATTCGAAGGAGAAATTGTTATTATTATTATCATCCTTTGAAAGTCACACTGTAACTTTTAAAGATACAAATTCCCTGAAATAAATCGATATCTATATGCATTTTTATGAAACGTGCATTGCAATAAATGAAAAAATTTGTCATATACATTAATGTGGCTGCGAAAAAGTTTCCGAAATTATTTTTTAATATAAGAACTACACAGATTCAGTTATCAGTGCAATCGTGATAACAACCTCAATAGACAATCCTCTCTAAAGCATGTATGATATTTGACAATGTAGAAAATTGATTTGAAGTCTTACTGCAATGTTTTTATACACTCATTGCATTTCACATGTCACACGTTTAAGCTGAATCTGACCAAATTTAACTGACTGTGCAATAATTAGGTTGGAATATCTTCCGTTTAATCTGGTTTGCTTTTTGGTGACAATAGACAAAACGCTTATATATTTTTGCGCCAAAAAATTATTTTATATAAGATGAAATATTACCTTCTTTGTTATAAATATGTTCCAGTCATAAAATGGCTTTCCTAACAAAAAACTGTGTATCTCAAATACGGCAAAGCATCTACTTCTGCATTTTATTTTTGGCTGAATTTATTTCACACATTTGCATCTAACATGGTGTATATCATATCTTGTTGATATATAGATGCTTTTTTCAAAAGTATTAAACAGTCCTTTTCTCAGTTTAAAATATTATGAAAATGATATTTTATTTTGGTCGAAAACAACCCTATACATTAAATGACAATAAAATATTACTCAGTAATAACACACTAATGTCAACTCTACCATGTTACTTGGCTGTACAAATATCTTATAGCTTTACAACTATAAAAATTATCCATAAAATATCATAACAGAATCAGTGTAGAATCAAGCAATAAATATCCTGCAATTCAGTAAGCACGCGTATGTCTCTCATTACGAGAGCTATTAGTGTGGCAAAAGGACCACCTTGTGTCATCTGAAAAGAAGGTAAATGGTAGCAGATTTTATTTTAAAGTATTTTAATTTCTTTTTTCCGTATTAACTCACTGTTTGTGTAATTGGAAGGAAAACAAACCTAATTCAGTGAATGCGATTTGTTTTTAACTTTAATCATGTCTTAGATGCTGTCATAGAGTTAAAAGTATATATTAATTGAATTACAATGGTTGCTTGTTTTGGTCATAAGGTAGCGAGTTTTAATTGTTTCATTCAGCAAAACCTGGAACAATAACATGTTCAGACTCTCAGGAATGTGCAGGCTTACTGAGTAAATGGTGCTTTTTTGCCTTTCCTAGAATCGCTGATGAGTAACCTATATATGTTATTGTTCTGGGGTAAATCAGTTAGCATTCACTCAACCTATATACATGTGATAAAACCTCCGAGCATATTGAAATATTATCTATGGTATATGATACGCTGAAATCTATACATAATAAAACAATATATCTTTATCCTAAGATTAAGTGTAAATGATATTTATATATTGGAGTTTGGATGCAATCCATCCCACTGATCAAACCACGTGAGGTTAAGGAAGTGTTGGTTGTTGTTGGGGTTTTTGAATCATACAATCCTTTCTCTTTAGTCGTCGATAAATCAATAACTGATTAAATGACTAAAGATATTGGTTCATTTTATTTTTATGCTTCATATTAATAATAATTTTAAAAGAGCATACAATAATTCCTCTATAGAGTTGATTAAACTGAGAAAAAGTTCACAACTGGTACCGGCATATCGATTACGATTTGTCTTTGTGTTCGATTGAACAATGCTCTAACATCAATCAAAGTGGCATTCAATTTAGCTTGAATGATAACAAGATTCATTGACTTTAATCTTTAGAGACATGATTCGTGTACCATAGGTTGATTTCCGCCCGAACGTTCGGTCTAATATTAGATGATCCAATCAGGTTTAACAAAAAAATAGAGTTTTCAAACGTAGGCAGTTGACGATGATTTGAAATACTTGTGTTCATGACGAAACAAGAAGAACTTTGTACCGTCGGATGTAGTCCGACACGTGACTGTAGTCCTGCTCCAAAGTACTAGTATGGCTTTTGATTTCGATTGATTTCGGAGCTTAGCGACTGTTTAAGCAATACCAGTAAACCAACAAGAAGTTGATTGATGAAGGTGTTTATAAGATAAATTATTGCAACAAATATGGAAAGTACCTAACATATTTTTGTACAAATTGGGGTTGGCTATTCTTAAACCATTAATTAGTTGCCAGGTTTATATTGAAAAATATTGTACGGCATGCGGCATATTTATAGAATTTATAGACAGCTATACCTATGGGTTTTTCTTTCTTTGAAGCGGGTTTTATTTCTCAATGATGGCGTACATTCGGTTACAAACATCAGTTAATCATTATTTTCTCATATACCAAAGCATATTATTTAAAAGAGCATGGTTTGTATCGACTACTTTTATTTTTGTCCAAAAAAGTGTTAGTAACCGTTTACAGATGTAGAAAAATAAGACTATTATATTTAGTTACCAAACTGTTTATGAAAATATAAAAATATAATCAGGATAGATAGATAGATAGATAGATAGATAGATAGATAGATAGATAGATAGATGGATGGATGGATGGATGGATGGATGGATGGATGGATGGATGGATGGATGGATGGATGGATGGATGGATGGAAGGATGGATGGATGGATGGATGGATGGATAGATGGATAGATAGATAGATAGATAGATAGATAGATAGATAGATAGATAGATAGATAGATAGATAGATAGATAGATGGATGGATGGATGGATGGATGGATGGATGGATGGATGGATGGATGGATGGATGGATGGATGGATGGAAGGATGGATGGATGGATGGATGGATAGATGGATAGATAGATAGATAGATAGATAGATAGATAGATAGATAGATAGATAGATAGATAGATAGATAGATAGATAGATAGATAGATAGATAGATAGATAGATAGATAGATAGATAGATAGATAAAGTAGGTCCTCACCATATTCAACAGCTGTGCATTAATGCCTCCGACATTCATATAATATTCATGCTTCTTAAGAACATCTAATTGCTTTATTGTCCCCATACAATGCAAAAAGTAAGTCTTTGCCACGCAAAAACCCAGTAAACCGAACATTTTGTAAGCTTTGACAATGTGAACAGAAGCTATTTTATGTCATTTGTGATATGGAAGGCTTAAATTGCCAAAGCCAATTCGCCCATTATCTCTTCACATTATAATTAATTTATGATCTGAATCATATTGACTGATTTCGTATAACTGGGGAAAATTATGAAAAGCTTTGTTCAGTTATTAGTGACGAATAACACAGTAATTCATTTAATCTAGTTTAAATGTTTCAATTTAGCAATGTGTGTATACGTGTGCATGTGATTTTTATTTTTAACGTAGCTTTAAAACTTTTCATTCATATCGTTACAATCTCTGCAGTGTGGCAGTTTATAATGATGTCTAGTAGTGAGGCATCATGCCGCAGACATGTAGCATGATGCCCCACTCAGCCACACTATCCTAACACCATGCCAACCAGTCCTAACACTAACCTTTTAATTATGAGCGCCTAGCAAGGTGGCTGTTAGTACCCTTTTTATAAATCTTTAGTATGACTTGGCCGGCTTTTGAACCCGCAACCTCTTGCATCCGAGGCGGACGCTCTAACCACTGGGCCACCGGAGTGGTCTAAAAAAATTAATATATGTAAATTTATCCTTTTCAGTAAGCAAGTGTAAATGGGATATCAATTTAAGACAACTTGAATAAATGACACCGAATTTACGTATTGATCGCTCTTCCATTTACCAATATAAATAACATTATTGTACGGAACAGTTTTCCACTTAAAAATTTGGTGTTAATACTGAAGACAACACATGCTACTATTGAAAACAACATTAATTGCATATAAGCATAAACTGCAGTCAAAATGTTATTTCATCCTAGATCGTCTTTTTTATCAAGTTATATACGTGGATGTTTTGCTGCATTCTTGTTCACATTTTAGAAAGATGCAAACATTAAATATTTATTTAACTTCTTCTCTTTTTTATTGGTAAAGAGTATCTGCCGGTGAGGTCATATCAATTTTAGCCCGTATCTTCCTAGTTTAATTTACATCCTTCGACCACTGATGCCTTCTTCTCTCAGTAAACGTGTCATTACTTTCACTAACTAACACTACTATATGAAGACGACTTTAGATTTTTGCCTCTTTCGTTGAAAGCGATTCTGTGCAATAGCGAAAAACAGTATTAATAATAAAGCACACAAAGCATAAACCATTCATTGTATAACTACGTTAGCGTAGTTTGAACAAATTTGTCATTTTGTCCACTTTTTGACCTAATAGCAGCATGCAACGGTATTTTTATTGAAAGCAATACAATATTCGTAACACTTATGTTTACGTTTTAATTCATGATTAATAGAATTGTGCAAATATTATTCTATCTGAATAACATATAATAATGATTCAATGTTTGTGTATGCGTGTTAGTGCGTGTGCGATTTGGATTTCTAACTTAGCTTTTACAAGTTTTCAGTCATATCGCTATGTTATCTGCAGTATAGCACTTTATAGTGATGTCTAGCCATAAGACATCATGCAGTAGACACGTAAGATCATTACCCACCCAGTCACATTATCCTTATACAAGGCCAACCAGTCCTAACACCTACCCTTTAATGCCGAGCGCCAAGCGAGACATCTGCTAGTACGATTTGCGGACGCTTTAACCACTTAAGTCAACGGAATGGCCTAATGCTTGATATATATATATATATATATATATATATATATATATATATATATATATATATATATATATATATATATATATATATATATATATATATATATAAAGAATACAAATCATATGGCGAATAAAAACCCTTTCAAGCGTACTGGATCCACCAAGGGATCACGTGTGTCAGGGATTAATTAAAATAGATGCAATAAACTGACGACGAACAGTACGAAACTAGTAACTAACTAGCCTAAGCGCTTTCGACTCTTAATGAGTCTTTTCAAAGGCAAATACAAAACATATATACGATAAACAAATCGTCAGACATACTAAACCTAATACTTTCGAACAAACCTGTAGTAGCTTACCGGAGACCAAAAAACCTAAAGGACATCCTAGTCAGGGCAAAGCTAACGCCAATCGCTAGTCAAAACCAACCTAGTCAATCTGGACCCTGTGGCGATAAAAGATGCAAAACCTGTTAACATATGATATAGACCAAGACATTCACTAGCACAGTGACTAAAGAAAAACTAAACATACATGGTCCAAATAAAACGTGCAAAACAGAGAATGTGATTTATCTCATCACATGTAAGATCTGTGGTCTTCAGTACGTCGGAGAAACTGAAAAGCTACTCAAAAGGATAAACCTTCATAGATCTGATTGGATGACAAAAAAGCTGTACAGAAGCCCGGTCGCAGAACACTTCTCCTGCCCTGGCCACACTTTCAGTGATATAATACTTATCGCTATTGCTAACAACCACAGCTGAATTTACGAAACCAGGAAGGAAAAGGAATCATACTGGCTACGCCGCCTTAGAACATTGAAACCAAGCGGTCTAAACCAAGAAGACTAGAAAATGAAAACTATGCACTAGTAAAATTTAACATTTTCTAAATCTTCTTATTATCCTTCAATTTTTACTATAAGAATAACCGGTATAGAATCAAATATCCGGGATATAATCTGCGTTACATATGTACAAAAAGTAAAAATAGATGTCGCTTTGACTTGTAGACTTTTAGGGAATTATACAACGTTTTCAGTTTCCGCATCTAGTATATACAAGCTGGTTGTATTTATAGCTTTAGCACATGTGAAGACAGCCATGTAGAGGTTTACAAACACAACGTTTTTGTGTTTATTTGTTTATCCAATATATGTTTTGCATTTGCCTTTGAACAAGACTCATTAAGAGTCGAAAGCGCTTAGGCTAGTTAGTTACTAGTTTCGTAGTGTTCGTCGTCAGTTTATTGCATCTATATATATATATATATATATATATATATATATATATATATATATATATATATATATATATATATATATATATATATATCAGCGGTGACACGCATGAGTATTGAAGAAAGAAGACATTTTTTCACAACACAAATAAAAAATACGCAACAGAAACAAACCATCATTGAGATGTTGGTTATTATTTTAGAAGACAAATTAGTAGAGTGGTCAATATAATAAGTAATACTCTCGCCAATTAAGTGATGTGCCTTCATGTAACCGAAAGGCTATATCATCTCTCCAAAGAACATCGATATAACAAACATGATTCGTTAAAAGTACCACATAACTTTAAAGAGGCACTCCAACAGCTTATGATACACTGGCGGAGAAACAGTTCGCCAATCAGTCCTGTATGTTGGTGTACTTTGGATTTTTAATGTAGCTTTAACAACTTGCCAGTCATATCGCTACGATGTCTGTAGCTTGACAATTAATGGAGATGTTCAGCGTTAGAGCTTACTGCCTATAACATATAACATGATGTCAAACTCAGTCACATTATCCTAACACTAGGCCGACTAATCATAACACCAACCTCCTAATGACGAGAGCAAAGTCAGGCAGCTGCTAGTAGCATTTTTATAAGTCTTTGGTATGCCTCGGCCTAGGTTCGAACCCGCTACATCTCTCCCCATTGATGTCAACGGGGAGAAACCCCAAACAGTCCTGAAGAAATATGTTCTGAAATAACTTTATAAACTCATTGTCATGCCAGTTTAATTTCATTTCCGGGGTAGGATTTAGGATGATGCTTGGATTTATATTTATTTCTAACCAGGATATCTTTTTTTATTTCAATGCAATGAACTTTTCTAACCAATATATATATATATATATATATATATATATATATATATATATATATATATATATATATATATATATATATATATATATATATATATATATATATGGTTTGTTTTTCTCTAAGAGCAAGAATATCTTTCAGTTATTTGGGGGCTGGTTGTTGCTTTCCTGGCAAATGTAATGCCGCGCTAAAAGAACTTGAAGAAACCGCAAATGTTAACTGAGATTTAACGGCATAGTTTGATGACTCGGTAAACCAAAATCGCATGAGTCATAATGACAAAATAATAGTTATGAAATGCTTGAATATAAATTTATTAGTAAATCAAATTAAATCTGAAATTGACCTTTTAATCTCTGCATAAACGAATACAACTAGAAATGTGTAAGAATTATAAATAATGAATGGTCAGACGTAGGGATGTGAATATAATACAACTTTCTTCCTAATGCAGTAATTTTAACCGTAGTATCCAATGAACCATTTCCGACCAACTATATTACGAAAAGATAAAAACTAGATAAAACTAGACTTTGGTCAGTATCTAATCAAATGTCTACACTTTTAGAACAAATCAGATACAATGAGTTCTTTTTAACGACACATAGTAATGACTGGGATAGAAAACAAATAATATAAAATGCAACATAGCACGTCAAATAGTTGTCCTGTTGAGTCGAAATCAATTCAGTTATGGAAAACTAAAGTCTATAAGCTGTAATTTTTAATCACGTCTGATTGCAAAGGAGTTTGCAGAAACATTTGATCATCCAGATGTTTATATTGAGGAAACTGAGTAGGGAGGTCCGTAATCTGAACAAATCCTTCTGTCCTCAAATATGTTTCATCGCTAAGATCACATGAACTAATATAAGATGAACTGGTATGGATCGTAAAAGAACGGTACATACACAAACAACGTACGTGTGTGATTCTGAGACCTTGGAAAGAACTAGTTAGATATGGCGTAGAGTCAAGACTTATTCATTGGTCATGTCAGTTTGGTTCCTTTGCCGAACTGGAACAAAACATAAATGCGAAATTTGTATATATTACTGACCACGACACTTCTTTTACGCTTTCTCGATATATATATATATATATATATATATATATATATATATATATATATATATATATATATATATATATATAGCCTTGTAGTATAAATAAAATTCAAAACCCATTAGGATCTTTTTAGTTTAGATTTAATGCGTTTAAAATATCCGTGCTCAGACGTAAGAAATGACATCTAAGTAGGTCCCACCTGGATATGTGATACCAAAGCACGTGTTTAGGAAAATCTATATCGGGTTTCAGTTCAACAATGTAATAATAGATGGGTAATAAATGGTTATGTAACAAAAATTAAAGTTGTAACGCATCTTCATATCAAATAAAACAACAGACCATATAAAGTAAACGCATGACCATTTAGCTAACAGAAATGTAGCTCTTCGTTACTGCTGAAATACACAAACACATACACACAAAACGCACACACATATGCACTGATTAAGGGTATGTATATGGCAGGTCTTGATATGTATATTTAAGTTGTCAATTTAAATGGATCTAAATGCACATCAGACAAATTTCTGTCTATACGAGTAAAAGTTAACCTAGCAGTCATGTACACCCTGAGCAGTAGATTCGAATATCAATCGTTGCCTCTTGTTCACATTAGTCTTTTTACCAAGTTTATCCTTAGATTTTAAACCTTTGATTTCGACCATAAAAGAGGTAAGCAGACAAAAAAAAAACATCACTAATGTAGCCAATTTTGACTCATGTCAGAACGGTGCCTTCTTCAATATTTT